GTGGCTTGTGGCTTACCGGTACTTTTACATCTTGCTTCTCATGGTGGCAGCAGGCAAGTGTCTCCTCTGCTCCGCCCTTCTCCTTCCTCCTCTATCTGTTTGGATTTCCCGCCTGCCTCTAAGCTGCCTTGCCATAAGCCAAACAGCTTTATTTATCAACCAATCAGAGCAACATATTTTCACAGCATACAGAAAGACATTCACCCATCAGATAACGTTGCCTTTTTCCTGAATTTTGTGCAATTGATTTGACTTTCTTTCCATTTGATGCTGGCCATAGGCTTGCTGTAAACTGTCTTCATTATGTTGAACCATGTCCATTGAATCCCTAATCTATCCTGGATTTTTATCATGAAGAATTGTTGATTTTGTCAAAGGAATTTCCTTCAGCCCTTTAAATTTCAAACTGTTAATTTGGTTTTTCTCTCTGCCTTTCAGTTAATTTTGATAAGGGTCTCTTAATTTTATTGATTTTCTTTAAAAAAAAACCTCTTTATTTCATGATTCTTCATATTGGCTTTTTGCTTGTTTCTTTGTATTTTATTGATTTCAATCCAGAGATTGATTATTTTTTCCCTTCTATTTCTTGGGGTGAGATTTTTCTTTTTGGTCTTTTTGGTGTGCCACCAAGCTACTAGTATGAGATTTATCCATTTTTTGTAGGCACTTTGTACTATGGAAACGCTTTATTGTGTCCCATAAGTTTGAACATGTTGTGAAGTTATAAATAATTCTCCTTCTCCTTCTCTTCCTTCTTCTCCTTCTCCTCCTTCTCCTCCTCCTTCTTCCTCTTCTTCCTCTTCCTCCTCCTCCTTTTGCTCTTCTTCTTCTTTTGAGACAGTGTTTCTCTGTTTAGCCTTGGCTATCCCAGAACTCACTTTGTAAACCAAGCTGGCTTTAAACTTACAGAGATCCACCTGCCTCTGCCCCTCAAGTTCTGGGATTAAAGACATATGCAACCATCACCTGGAATATTGTGAATTCTTATTCATGCAATTCTAGAAAGTCTTCCATTTCTTTTTTTTGATTTCTATCTTGACCTATTTTTTAACTCAGAAGTGAGTTGTTTTTGTTATTGTTGATATCCAGCTTTGATTCATGATGTTCAGAGAGAATGTAAAGTATTATTTTAATTTCTTATGTTTCTTCAGACTTGCTTTGTGTCAAAGTATGTCTCCAATTTTAAGAAAAGTTCCATGAGGTATTGAGTAGAAGGTATATTCTTTTGTGTTTAGGTGAAATGTTATATAAATATTTCCCCCTACTGGAGTCCTATTTATTAAATCTTTACATCTCTTTTAAATTCAAATGCACCTACAAATCTGGAAACTTCTGCATATGAAGTTGCATGTTGAATTTCCCAATTCATTTGGAAGATATCTGTAAATACCCCCAGCTCTGTGGCATATACATGCTGCAGCTTCTCCTTCCTCTCTGCTTCCATCTGCAGTGGATTACATAGATCACCCCTTCCTAACTTCCTCCCCAACACACATTGCATTACTCAACCTCCAACACCAGCAAGCATTTCCAGGAAATCCACAGGCAACTCCAACCAGGGAAGCAGGAGGGCTAATTGCAGATCTCCATCAGTTCTTCCATAGTCCAAATCAAATCACACAGTCTCTTCTGCAATTCTTCAGCAGACCCTCTTTCCTTTTGGTGCCCTTCTCTGGTACATCAAGCAGATTTTCTTTCCCCCCAAACATCCTTTGCCTACTCATTGCTTTATGTTAGCTCCCAACACGAAAAGACATTCCCTGGGAATATGTAGGCAACCTTGGCCAAAAATACAGATTGGCTAAATGCATATCTTCACCTCCATCCCTCCATGTCCAATCTCCTATTCCCATTACAGATCTGTTGCAGACCTTCTGCTGGGGACTCTCGAGACTCTCTGCCCACCTTCCAAGGAGACCAAGCAGGTACAGTTGGAAAATCTTTTTCCGCCCTCTTCTGGACCACCTTTCCTTCCCCTCTCTGAGCTCATCCCCATTCCTAATTGTCTGCTATGAAACCTACAAAACACATTTCACCTGGCAACCCAGTGGCCACAATTACCAAGATCATAGAATAATTTCCTACCAGGCAACACATATGCATCATATTCTGCTAAAAACTGCAGAAGCTGTGGTGGTTCAAATAGGTTTGAATGTGTTTGAATGCTTGACTCACAGAGAGTGGCACTATTAGGAGGTGTGGCTATGGTAGAGTAGGTGTGGCATTGTTGGAGGAAGTTTCTCTGTTCCCTTCTCTCTCCCTGTAGATCAAAATGTAGAATTCTCAGCTCCTTCTCCAGCACCATATCTGCCTGCATGCTGCTATGTCCTGCCATGATGATAACGGGCTAAATCTCTGAAACTGAAAGCCAGCCACAATTAAATGTTTTCCTTTGTAAGAGTTGCCATGATCATGGTGTCTCTTTACAGCAGTAGAAGCCCTAAGACAGTCCATAGTCCATTTTTTAATTGGGTTGTCTGCATTCCTGATATTTAGGTTTTTTTTTATATTTTTTTAAAAAAAGTTTGTATATTCTGGACACCAATCCTCTGTCACATACATAGCTGGCAAAGATTTTTCCCATTTTATGAGTTGCCTCAAGTTAGTTCTCTTTCTTTTATTGTCCTGAAGCTTTTCAGTTTCAAGAGATCCCAATTATCTTACTTGTAAGTCTTAATTTCTGAGCTACTGGAGTCCTATTTAGAACACCCTTACCTATGCTTGTAAATTCAAGTATACCTACAAGGTTTTCATCTAGCAATCAAGTTGTACATTGAGGTCCTATTTCCAACTGGAGTTGAGTTTTGAGCTAGTGAAGTATAAGATTCTACTTTTGTCTAGTCTGCATTTTGAAACTAAATTAAGATTCTATCTCTCCTCAGTAAAATGGCCTTCACAAGAAATACAAATAACAACAAATGTATGCATGGATGTGGGTCCAAGGGAAGATGGCTACCCTATTGGTAGGAATGTAAATGCTGCAGTCTTTCTGGAATAAATCTCTAGACTTCTCCAAAAACTGAATATGAATGGATAGATGGCTTAGCAGTTTAAAGCAAAGGCTACTCTTCAGGGGACTCAGTTTTTATTCCTAGCACTCACATTATAACTCCAAACTGCCTGTAACTCAGTTGTAAGGGGTCCAACACCCATTTCTGGCCTCTGCAAACATTACATAGAAGTGATAATAGACATGCATGCAGGTAAAATTACATAAAATAAATTTAGAGACATGAAATAGATTTTCTATATGACCTACTTACACCACTCCTCAGCATATACACAGAGGATTACAGATTTTATTATGGAGATACTTGCATATTCATGTTCACTGCAACTCTATTGATAATAGCTATGAAATAGAATCAACCTAGTTACTCATCAATTTACAAATGGATAATGGGAATGTGACACATAAACACAATGGAATGTTACACACTTGTAAAAAAAAATCAGGAAAATCAGTGGAACTAGAAAAAACTCTATCGGGCAGGATCACCCCTGGCTCAAAGAAGAAACACTGAATGTCCTTTCTCATATGCGGTTCCCAGCTTCAAATTTTCTTTGCATGCTTTTAACAGTGAGTGCAGGTTGCTCCCAACAAGCTGTGAATCCAGTTCTAGAGGATACAATATCATTTTCTAGCCTCCCAGTGAATAAGCACACATTAGATTACTGGCGTACATTCAAGAAAGACACCCTTACACATGAAATAAAAGAAATAATCTCAATGTGCATGTGAGTGACATTATTGCTTTCATGAACATCATGGCGTTGATGGAATTATTTCCTGGCCCTGCAAGCAATAGCAGGCAAGATGAAGACTCAAGTCTCATTTTGTGTCTTTGGATCATCACTAGAGAATGACCACTGTGGGCTCTTAGCAGTCTGTGTGATCTTGAGAATTAGAGTGTTTACTATAGTGAATGGAGGCTATTTCATGACCTTGGGTAAGAAAATATTTTTTGATGTTCAAGGGTTGCTTGAACTGTGATTCCTAAGTGGGGTACTCCTGGCAAGTATGTCTATTTTATCCATCCTATAAGTAATTAAATTCCTTTGTTGGTGTGCTTTAATTATATTGGTAGAAAATGGATACATTGAACCACAGGCTTTTGTCTCATCCCTCAACTCTGAGATTTCCTATCAACCCTATTTGGGGTTTCTGTGCTTGAATCTACCTGGGCCCTGCTCCTACCCTGAAGTCCTGTTTTTTTCCTTTGGGTCAAAAGATTGGAATGTACAGAGCAAATTTAAAGCATCAACGTCATGGAAAAGGCAGTCAGGGAAATACTGGGTATGCAAGGAAGTGAGTAAGGGCGCCCCAAATCTGAGTATGTTCTTAACATGCAGTGAAATCCTAAAATGCAACAGGTTTATTCCAGAGAGCAAGGCCTATATGTTAACGCTTTTCCATTTATTTATTTATTTATTTATTTATTTATTTATTTATTTATTTATTTATTTATTTATTTATTTGCATTTACTTTTGTTTGTATTTTGCATGCTTGTTTGTATATATGTTTGTTTTTTTCTAAACAGGATTTCTTTGGGTAGTATATCCTGAAGTTCTCTGTACCAAGTGAGCCTCAATTTAGTGATCTTCTTGCCTCTGCCCCAGCATTTCAGGGATTAAAAATTGCCTGCCATTAGCATTTGGGAGGTAAAAGGATCTCCAAAGTGAACTCCAGGACAGCCAGGGCTACGCAGAGAAAGCCTGCCACAATGTCTGGCATATTTGTTTGGTTTGAGTCAGGGACTCACCATGTAGCCTTTAATGCCTCTGAATTCACAGAAGTCTGCCTCCCTTAAGCCTGCTGGCAGTAGGGCTTTCGCCTGACCTTTTCTAAAATGTTTAGATATTTTAGGTGCGGCTAGTGTATAGTTCGCCAATCAGAGACGATAGTATAAAAGGAACAGCCCAATCAGGAGCACGGATAGTCTGTGCGCGACCCGGAAGTCTTTTTTTTTTTCTTTTTTTTTTCTTTTTTTTTTTAACGCTTTGCTTAGTCTGGGGGTGCTTGTGAGGATTTGTTTTAGGCGATAGTATGTTCTGCTGACTGCAGTTCTCTTTGGGAGGACACCGGTGCACATCGGAAGTACGATATGGTGAGTGTCCCTTGGCTCCTGGAATCTTGGGTGGCGGGTTTGGGACAGTAGCTCCTTTGCGGCGCCAGTACCTGGAGTTTCCCTTGGCGCTGAGCAGTCCACTGGAAGGTAGAGTCTGGCCCAGCAATGCCTATGCCCACTTTCACTTGAAGTGTGCACCCCACAGGGAGCCTTGAGCCCCGATCTTCCCCTCTCTCCCCACTTTTCTGTCCTGGTGAAGCTGCTTCCCCGCAATCCTCAGCACTCTTGGGTGACTCCTTGCCGTGAACTGTGCTACACAGATTTTGCAGCGCTGGCGGGTTGGTGATGCTGTGTCCAGGACATGAGTGATCTTTAAAGTTTCCCTTCTCCTGTGCTTCCGTTTTGAGTGATTGATTTTTTTTTTTTTCCCGTTATCACCTTGGAGTTTTTTCCTCTCTCCACTCACTTCTCCCATCTGGTCTCTCTTAGCTTGTTTCCCATGCCTCCTTCTATTAAAGAAGTTTCCCACAGCCGGCGGTGGCGCACGCCTTTAATCCCAGCACTCAGGAGGCAGATCCAGGTGGAGCTCTGTGAGTTCAAGGCCAGCCTGGTCTACAGCGCGAGATCCAAGACAGGCACCAAAGCTACACAGAGAAATCCTGTCTCGACCCCCCCCCCCCAAAAAAAAAGTTCCCCACAAAACTGCGTGTCCCTTAACAATTCATCCTGTATAGTGTTTGCATTTTTCTTTCATTTTTAAAAAATGATAATGTGTGAGAATTTTTAATTGTTCTCCTGACTGCAGTTGGCCAAAATTATCAGTCTGAAGAAAGATAGAAACTTCAATCTGCTTCACTTTTGGTTTGCAGTGACCTTTTTAGAGTCCCAAACTGGGGTTTTGAGAAGTTTCCACACTTTGCAGAAAAGGCCTGTGAAACTGACTACGAGCTTCGCTTCGCGGAATTGGCGGTGTGTTGTTGCCAGGGTAGTTTTGCTGTGAGCTGCTTTAAACAGAAGGGATTGGGAGGGTCAGTTTTGTAGCAGGCAATTTCCACATTTTCAGGCCTTGGGAAAAAGTAATGCTTCATCTTTTTCTTTTTGCCTCTAGACAGTTGGTTTATGTAGGTAGTGTAATTTCTGACCGTTTGGGAACCTTCAGAGCGTTCATGCGGGAAAGACAAGTGTGCTTTCTAGTGGAGAAAATGTTCTTTATTTGAATGTTGACTTGAGTGTGGAGCACATTTATAATATATTTGCTATGCTTTAGTGTATAGTTATTTTGATATTCATTTAATTGTTAATTTATAATTTGTTATTTTTTCTTTTTTGAGACAGGGTTTCTCCTTCACCGTCTGGCTTTAGGTATTCATTTGTTTTGTTTTGTTTTGTTTTGTTTTGTTTTTGGCACAGGGTTTCTCTTTGTAGCCCTGGATCTCCTAGTGTTGACCAGTCTAACCTTGAACTCAGAGATCACCGTCCTCTGCCTCATGCATTCTGGGATTAAAATCTTGCATCACCATGCCTGACTTTGTGGGCTTTGGTTACCTGACTCAATGTAATTACATTTTCACTTACACCCATTTGCTGGAAATTTCATTTCAGTTTTCTTCATTGCTGAGTGGAAATCATTGTGTCTATGTGCTGCATCTCCATCATATGGACATCAGCTGATGGAGATCCAGGCTGATTCTTTTTCTAGCTATTGGGACTAGAGCAGGAATGACCATGTGTGTGCATGTATGTGTTATAGTGTTTTGAGTGTTTTCATTATATTCAGAGAAGTTTATACCTTGGTGAAATAGTATTTCTGTTTCCTGCTATTGAGGCAAGCACACACTGATTTGCTTATTAATTCCAGCAGTTTAAACTCACCAACAGTGAGTCAGTATTCATTTTTGTACGTACACATCTTCAATAGGGTTGGAGCTCTTAAGGCTTGCAGAACTTTTTACCTGCCCTTGCCCTGTGGACAGCTTTAGCCTCTGTGATTCCTAAAATGTAAAGATTGAGAAAATAACTTAGTCCTGTGATTTCAGACTCCCTTAAGTAATTAATATCCTTAAAATATACCCCCAAATATTATGTTTCTTCAAAATAATTGCTAATAGTTTCCACTAAATATGTCATATTTCTAATGAACAAATTGAGTCTTAAGTTTATTTAAAATCATTCGCTGTCAAGGTTTAGGCAAGTATTATACCAGCTAAATAATATTTTAACTAAAAAACATTAGAAAATGGATGAGTTGAAACATAAGGTGTGAAGACGCCTCAGATGAGTTTCCCTTATTCCAGACTCTTGTGTTTACACAGTTGACACAGCAGCCCCTTCTGTTCTGTGTGTGCACAGACTAGGGATTCCTTCTACCCCAGCTGTCTTGGTTTTGGCCTCGGGATCTCCAGTCAGGAATATCCAGGCCTTAAGTTTCCTTCATCAATCAGGGATGCTGTTAATTCGCTTCATCGAATGTCCAGTGAGGTGGATGGATATTCAGAAACCACACCATTGCCACTGGGTTTGAATCCAGTGTAGATGCTGAAGTGTGTTACGTTGGACCTGTACCACATTGTGTTCTGCTGATTTTAGGCTTGTAGGGAGGACACCCTGATCCTTCAGAAGCAGGAAAGGGTGAGTTTGTCCAAGGCTTCTGGAATTGTAGGTTGTATGCTTGTGCCATTGCTGAGGCTGTGGAGCTGAGGCCTGGGTGTTCTCCTGGCCATGTGTAGAATGTGCCCTGGACCCTTACACTAGCTCTGATCTTCCCAAAGTGCTGGGATTGTGTGCAAGGCAGGCAGCTGTGCACCAGGCCTCCCGCCCTGTGCTGCCAGGTTGGTGCCGTTGAGTCCAGTCTGGTGTGAAGGGACCTGGGCGGTGTCCCTTAGGGTGTGTCTGTGCTGTGTTCGGTTCTTCCTGTCATCACGTTTATGATTTTACACTTTCCTTAGTACTGAACAGTAAGCCAGGCCTGACATGAGTTCAACACAGACTTTGTCATTAAGCTGCATCCCCCAGCTCCCAACTCCTTATCTTGTGTGCGTGTGCTTGTGCGTGCATGGGTGTGTGTGTGTGCTTGTGCGTGCATGCGTGCGTGCGTGCGTGCGTGCGTGTGTGTGTGTGTGTGTGTGTGTGTGTGTGCTTGTGTGTGTGTGTGTCCTTTTAAAAATGATGATGATAAGAGGACTGGATGTTCCCTTTGTAAGAGTGGGTCAAAATTCCCAGTCTCAGAGGAAGAGAACTTTTTAATTTGATTTTTTTTTCTGCACTGCCTGTTTCTGAGGCAAAAATTGGCATTTTTAAAGCACTCTCCCAGGCTTGCCCTTTGACAGCTCTGTGAAGGGGGTCCTAGGTTTGGGATTGGATTGTTCTTTGTTTGTTTTGCTCTAGGCTGCTTCTCCAAATAGAAGAAATTGCATGAAGGAGTACTTAATCAGTCTTTTTTGTTTTTTGGATTAACTTCTTTGTAGAAAAAAGTATTAATAATTTCAGTAGTGTTAGAATTTAGGTTGCAGAATGAAGAGACAAAAGGCTGGAAAGAGACCAGAGTCTGACCTTAACAGACAACACCGGTCATTAGCACAGACAGCAAATGACACTGACTTTTCTGCTGTGCACTGGGATCAAGCTGCCTGGGGCCTTTATAGGGAGGGCCCTGGAAGAGGCTTGGGAATGAGGAAGTTGATGCAGCTTCCTGGGCTGTGTGCTGCTGTGTAGTGTAGCAGGAATCTTAAAAGTTCTTGTTAATAAAATCAAACCCGGGGCCAGTTATTGGGGTGAAATGCTGGATGGTCAGAGAGACAGAACAAGCCACAGCTAACCTCACCTGGCCAACTTCTCAGCTGATCTTGTTTCCTCAGACTGGAAGCCTCTGAGTCCTCATATCCGAATGGCTCTCAGCTGAACTGTGCTCCAAAGCCTGAAAGCTTAACCAGCCAAATGCTTAACCAGCTAATGCTTCTAGTTTCTGGTCTTCACGCCTTATATATCTTTCTGTTTTTTCCATCACTCCCTGGGATTAAAGACTCACTTCTTGGGATTAAAGGTGTGGGTCACCAAGCCTGGCTGTTTCCAATGTGGCCTTGAACTCACAGAGATCCAGAGGGATTTCCACCTCTGGAATGCTAGGATTAAAGGTGTGAGTGCCACCATTTTCTAGCCTTTGTATCTAGTGGCTGTTCTGTCTCTGACCCCAGATAAGTTTATTAGGGTGCACAATATTTTGGGGAATACAATACCACCACAATGTAGTCTCTCCTTCCTGAAGTTATTTGCCCAGGCTGTCTCAGCAGACATTCCTCTTCTGAAATTAAAATAACTCTTAAAGAAGGAATATTAAGCAAAACCTAGCTTATCACAACAAAGTTGTTATACAACAAAGCATACAAATTGTCATTACAGATTTCAGTTTAAATGTCAGATACTCGTGAGTGCACGTGCTAGCTAGCGTGTGAGCACGTGGGTGCGTATGTGCATGCATGTGTTTGTGTGTGTGTTTGTGTACACTGGTTAGAGGACAGTGAGTGGACATTAGAATATGAGACCAAAGTTTATTTCCTCTACAGGAAAAGGAACTCCGTATTAGAGATGGTGTGTAACAGTCATGAGTCCATTATTGAAGGGATGCAAAATCTTAGGTGTTGCTGATCATAATGGCTCATGGTTGAAATCCCAGCCCTTGTATGACCGATGAGTAAAGAAATGAGGAACTGTTTCCAGAATAACATAGATTAAGCTAGTGATAGAAAAATGAAAGTATTGAGACAGCTCCTATTTGTTTAAATAATTTACTTCTACCCCACTGAATCTAATTAGTGCAGCCCTCATTTACAGTGTGCATGGGGTCATACACTGTGAGGGGTGAATCTACCAGTGGCCACATTTCTAAAGAATAGTGACTCTCCCTCCCCTAAAAGCAGCAACTGAAATTAGGATTTCAGTAAGGGCTGGTGCCTTAAAGTACACCTCAGTCCATTTTGGGACCAGCTTCTTCACTAGTGGTAATGGGTGGTAATACCTGCTTGTTCAGAGCTTGGTGGGTTTGT